TTATTATTATTATTATTATTATTATTATTATTATTATTATTATTATTATTATTATTATCGTTGTTGATGCCGATGGTTAATCTCTGCGTACCAAACTTCCGGTAGAAAAAAACATGCGAGCACGAAACCGGAAATGTAACTAGAAAAAAAAGAAAAAAAGAAAAAGCTGAACCGTCAAAACATAAACAGAGCAGGCAATCCTATGTGAACGCAGCTAGCTCGCAATATAGTCTGACTTTTCAAAAAAGCTTTATGCACGCATTCCTCATGTCGTGTGTTTTTCGTCATAGAGTTCCTAGTCAAGGCACTTAGCTCATTTGCTGAGTAGCGAGGTGGAGCAAATAAATCTGCAATAAAGATTAAGACTAAACTAAGAAGTACGCCTCGTCGGGCCTTCGACTACAGGTAACGCTAGCTGTGCTAGTTAGCGAGTATAAGCAATGCTAGCCGCTTGTTTGCATTTTGACCAGTAGCTGGTTAGTTGTGCAGCACAACTTAGAAAACTGTGTTTTAGTTTCGACATTTGTTAGCCTCGAGTTTGCTAGGTAGCATTAGCTTATGGTAATAACTGTCAGGCAGTCAAGCAGTTCTTTTATACAGGACAATACATAGTTAAATATCACAAAGCAAAACAGGCCCGTGATTCGGCTAACAAACGACTTAGTTTGTTTATATATTTACATGCAGCGGTGTATAGCTTGTAAAATTAGCCAGACTGATAGTTTGGAAGCTACGGGGCTAACAGGTAACTTGTACCCTATTGCAAATAGTGTCAAGTCGCTATTTGGCAAGAGCTTATCAAATGAAAGCCGTGGCGTCGCCTCGTTTATAGCACACAAACTGTCCAGTCTGATTTTGAGTAGTTGTCAGTGCACCATTAATTTTGTTTTTGTGTCCAACACGAGGTTGTACCTCGGGTCGACGCAGGACTTCACAGATACAATGGCTGAGGCTGACGGCAAATCCACGGTGCTTAACGGTAAAACAAGTCAGTTTATATACTAATGACAGCAGTGCATGGTGTCATACTCCGCAGCAGTCATCAGAGTTCATCAGAGAAAATGTTTGGCTTCAATAGGTGGCTCTGAAGAAAAGGAGCCTGGAAAAGACCAACACAAAGAGGGGGATGCCTCTGGAAGCAAAGAGGGGCAAACACAGTCTTCCTCTCAAGATGGTAACTCTTATAGTTTTAGTATGGTGGAAAAATTTCATAATGAGTTTTTCCTACTATATATGACTAACCATCTACATATTTGTCTTTTTTTATGTATTTTATGAATCTCCCTATGTGACAGTGTTGCTTTAACCTTATATTGGGCTTTTCTATTTCCATAGCTCCCAAAGAAACAGCTGAAGCATCTGGAGACAAATCTATGCCAGATGTAGAAGGAGAGACGGGCACAACCAGGGAGGGAGAAGAGGATGAAGATACAGACAGCATGGACGGCAGCGGCCTCTACTCTTTAACTGAGGATGGTGAAAGGGAGAGCGAGGGAGGAAGGCGAGAGAAGGCCAAAGAAAAAGATGGTGGGAAAAGGGCAGCTAGAAAGAGAAACAGACCTGGCGGCGGCACTAACCACTCCTCAAGTTCAGATGATGATGATGACGACGATGATGATGAAGAAGAACAGAAAGATGATGACGACGACGACGATGATGATGAAGCTATGGAGGCATGGCTTGGGGCAGAGCTCCGTGACATGCGTGGTCCTGTGTGGCGGGCGGTACCCTCGCTGCGCTCCAGAGAGATCGGCAGGGACTCACACCAGTTTGTGAGGCGCGTGTGTGGGGCTCGTGGCCTCGTGCAAAGGCTGGAGCTCCAAGGCCGATTAGAGAGGCATACAGGTTGTGTCAACACATTGCACTTCAATCCATCAGGCACACGCCTGGCATCAGGCAGCGATGACCTGCGTGTGGTGATCTGGGACTGGGCCATCCGTCGTGCTGAACTGGAGTTTGACAGTGGACACAAGAGCAATGTCTTTCAGGTAAAACACAAAAATAGGACTACAGTAGAGGTTCATTATTAGTTAGTCCTTTAGTTATTTTTCCAATTAAATGTTAGTAATAGTAATGTGTTAGAGTATTCTATACAGCAGAAGGAAAAATCTGTGGGGTTTTTTTTAATGTTATAAAAACTTCAGTTTCCTTCAAGAGTTAATAAGATAATGTTTAAATTATTGAGTAGTTGTTTAATATTCTCTTCTTCTCTTATTTGATTGTTTCATCTGTTGAGACAAAATAACTAGCTTTCTGGGACTTTTTCTTATAAGAAGCGATAATCATTATACCACAGAAACAGTGATAAAGAAGTAGAATGTGGAAACAAGACTAAGTTAGAGACAAGCAGTAAATTTCTATTTGATGATTTATTTATTGTTTTGTATTATTTTATAATAATCCATTATTAAAAAAAAAAAAAACTTACAAGACAGATTGAAGTGACTAATTCATAAGCATAATTTAATCAAGTTAAATTGTGGTTGTAAAATGCATGATTGGGCTACCCCTGGCTTTAATTTAGGCAAAGTTCCTGCCTCACAGTGGGGACTCCACCTTGGCCATGTGTGCTCGTGATGGTCAGATCAGAGTGGCTGAGCTTTCTGCCACACAGCGCTGCAAGAACACGAAACGGGTCGCACAGCATAAAGGCGCTGCACACAAGGTCTGTGAGAGGAAATCTTTGTCCAGTGGTGTTTAGGACTCTTAGAGACAGCTGAATTGGTATCATATCAATTTTTTGTTTTGTATTTTTTAGCTGGCCCTTGAGCCAGATTCACCTTGCTCCTTTCTGTCAGCTGGAGAGGATGCTGTTGTATTTGGTATTGACTTGCGTCTAGACCGCCCTGCCAAGTAAGAGTCAAGATTTTTTATTATCATTATGTATTCACATAACTGAATTCTGTGCAATGGCTCTCAGCTAAGTGCTATTAAGTTTCACATTCAGCTAGTTTTGTCACAGTGAGTGTAGAGTGAGACTTGCTGTGGATTGACAAAACTGTCTTGCGCACCATGTGAGCAAAACGCATAAACAGATAAAACATTTTTAGGTTGATCGGTGGTAATACTGGTGTTCTTTTGTGTCTCCTTGTATCTTTGTGGTAGTAAACTGGTGGTTGTAAAGGAGGGTGATAAAAAAGTGGGGCTGTACACCATCTTTGTGAACCCAGCAAAGACACACCACTTTGCTGTTGGCGGGAGAGATCAGTATGTGAGGTATGAACCAGGGAATAGTAAAA